TTTCCAGTAAATGTCCCTTTGACATCAATTTCTGGATGGAGAAAAGTGCCCTGAGCTGCTACAGTTTGTTTAAGGAAGGCGAACAAATGGGTGTTCAACTGGTCCTGTTAGACCAGTGGTTCCCAACCTTGGGTCCCCAGATGTTCTTGGACTAGATCTCCCAGAAGCCTTCACCACTAGCTGTCCTGGCCAGGATTTCTGGGAGTCATAGTCCAGGAACGTTTGGGTTACACAAAGTTGGGAACCACCTGCCATACAGACCATTGAATCTCAATCTTTTGATCTCTGGAGCAGTGGGGTCCCAACCTGGGGTCCTCAGACTACAACTCCCAGAAATCCTGGCCAGCCCAGCTAGTGGGGAACGCTTCTGGGAGTTGTAGTCCAAGAACATCTGCAGACCCAACGGTCAAGAACCACTCTTAGTCACAGGTTTCCAAAGCTGATGAGTTGTGAATGGGAAACCTCTGGGGGTTTTTGGGGGGGCCATCCAGTGATTTATTGCCATGGGTAAATTTTAGCCCTGTGTTTAGGCAATTGTGCGTCAGGTAGCAGGAAAGGACTTAATGTGATAGAATTCCCCTCTGGAGGAAAAAAAATGGATTTCTGTGTCCAGTAAGGGAGAAGGCTAAGTTAAACCCTAACTTCACATGTACAGGAACTTTTAAAAAAATTATTTGTTAATTGGGAGAATATTTGGTTTTGTTTGCCTATTAACCTGAGACCTATAGTCCAGAGATATTGTATTTCCCCCCGAAAATAAGACAGGGTCTTGTATTAGGATTTATTTTTCAATTAGGTCTTATTTTCGGGGAAACAGGGTAGCTAAATCCCAATAGCTTGTTTGCCCTTTATGTGAGAATTGAGCTGTTGAGGTCTAACTGTTAGAGATGCATATTATAATATTTCTTCGTTTTGGGTCATCTCCAAGAACAATGGGCTCGGTATCTCTTGTTTGCACGAACAACGGACTCGATGTGCGTTTTTGCATTCCCGCTGCTGGGTATTGTCGCGTTGCTTGTGTTGAGGAGATACATATGTGCTTTTCCTTCCGCCTATTCTTATCTCTTCCTGACGTGGTGAGCTGAAAGGGAGGTGTTGAGGATGATGGTGCCCTTTCATCTGACATCACTCATTTTGAGGCGAGAAAAACACAATATTTTATTTTACTCCAAAGAGGGGAAATGAGACAAAGATAGAAGTATCTCAGCTCTTTTTCCTGTGTCGGGGACATATTCTGAAATGGCACAAACGCATAGAAACAGGCTCTCTGAATTATGCCTTTCCAGTGACTTTGCATGTGTGTTAAGTTTTAGAGGAAAACTTTGAGAATTTGTAGGGTTTTTTTTTTTCTTCCCCCTCTTGGTTTATAGTGGTTTGTTCTGCAATTTTGGATAGGGCGTGTCGCTTTCTAAAAACACCATTTGTTTAATAAAATCTCAATGCAGCATGAGCATGAACGTCCATAATTTTCATAATTTTGAAGAATATGAATGAAAGGATCCTCATGACCCCAAGCTACCTGCTTATGTCTGTCTTAAGAAGATGCATGTGTAAGGTAAAGAGGTGAGCCCTTTTAAAACAGCTTCCAGGACTGATCGATCTGCACATGTTCCCTTGGAAATAGACCCCAGCTGAACTTTCTCAAACGATAAGGAAGCCGGAAATCCATTATTTGAAGAATCCGGGCTATATGGTGTACTTCAGGACTCTTTGGAGATGCGTTAATGACACAAAACCAGATTTAAAAAAATCAATGATTTAAATCAAATCCATCCTGCACAAAACCACACTTAAAACCCTATCAAAACTGTTAAGGATGTTTTACACAGGTTTTTAACATTATTTTTATTTTATTGGTCTTATATGTGGTTATTCGCATCAACCCTCCCTGCTTTTAGCAAGACTTGGTCTCCCAAGGACAAGCATTGATGGACTCCTTAGCTGCGGAATTAGGAAGTATTTAATTGCGGAAAAACCTTTTGCAAGTTATTCTCTCAAGACTTCATAGGAATGTTCTTGTCATATAAACCTTTCCGCTTGTATTATTGCCTCGCTGTTAATCGTCGCTGTGGGTTGTAAAAGCAAGGGCAGAGGACAACACCAAGTTTAGCCAAACGGCGGGAGAACAGATGTTGTGTTTTATTTTTTGCTTTTAAGTGGAGGTTGATTTGAAAGAATAGTTTTGTTGTTCGAACCGTGTTATCGTACAGCGATAAAATGACAGGCAATATGTTATCGTCCTCTCTGCTTTGTTGACGCATGTTAGCTTAGGCAACTAGAAATACTCTTTTTTTTAAAAGGCTGACACAGATTTTCATCCTTTCTGATCAAATGACAGAATATTTGTGATTTTTTTTATAGCGCATCCAAAACGAAGATGGAGAAGCAACCGTCGTTGTGGAAAACGACCATTACATGGACGACTTTTTCCGGCAGGTAAAAATTGTCTAAGGAGGCGCTTAAGAAACTACCGTATCAGTAAGAGTGGTTTCTTTGTGGATCCCTATTCTACCTAACAAGTAAGGGGTAAAATCCTGCCTTGTGATCCTCTGCCCATTCCCTAAACCCTGGGGATTGTGGCCTTTTTAGGGGCTGGTGCATCATTTATAACCACTGTCTCCATGGGTTCACAATTCCCAGGCTAATGCATTCTAATTTAACTCTGTCTGTGGACTGTGCACTGATTTTATTTTATTTTTTTAACGAGCTGTTTCAGGTTCATTTTTAATCACCAGTCTCCTTTCCCCCGAAGGTTGAGGAACTCAGGAAGCTCCTTTCCAAAATCGCGTCTGCAGTGGAAGCCGTAAAAAAGAAGCACAGTATCATTCTTTCAGCCACACATCCCAAAGACAGTAAGCGTTTCGCCCTTGTGGCTCTTAAAATGCATGACAGGCTGATACTTTGGGGTTCCTAATGAGCTGAATTCTGTGCAGGAGGACCCTCCCTATCCACTGATTCACTTACCCTCTACCTGAAAATACTAAATAGAGCCCCTCCTCCCCGAAATACATATTTATATGGATTTCCTGGGTGTATTTACCAGAACTAGAGGGAGCCAGAGACCAAGCAATGTATAGTGTTTGAGATATCCACGTTTTTCGGCATCCGCAGGGGTGGGATGTGGAACCGATGCCCCGTGGATACTGAGGTCCTACTGTGTGGGCAGTGGCTCGGAGCCACTTACAGTTAAGTAAGGGAGATTGTTCTTACACTGTACCACTCCAGCGTGTGTGTGGTGTTGGTTCTGGGGGGGTTGGAGGGTAGCCCGTCTGAATTTAAACAAAATGTGTTCCATTAAAAAAAAAATCACAACAATGCAAGAGTGCAGACAATCGAACACCTGGGGGGGAGGGGAAAATTTGGTGAAGAGGCTAGCGGTGATGGAGAAGCAGGATCGGCCCTGTAGCATTGGGAGCAGAACTTCCCGGGGTTACTTTCTGCGACTTGAGTCCCCCCCGGAATCAGACAGTCAGCACGGCCACTGGCCTCTGGGAGCTTGTTGTCCAAAGAAGTAACTTTTGCAAGCTTCGCTGGGAGTGAGCAGGAAGAAACGTCGTCCGAACCTACCCCAAGGTTCCTGAAGCTGATAATGGGTAGCTGTACTTAATGTAAGGAATGTTTGTGCCTCTTGTGTGGCTGGAGTAGACGGTGTCTTTTCATCCTAAATCAAAGATGGCAATCAGATGGTACCCCAGTGGCTATGAAGGACAACCCTCCTCCCCCCCACCCCGAGAGTAAGAAACTCATGCCTTTCTGGGTGTGATTCTGCTGTAAATCAAAGCATTTTTCATACACACATACCTTGATAGGCATAAAAATAAAGCAAAACAACCCTGAAACATTGCTCCCTTATTTTTTTTTTTAAGCTGGAAGTAAATGTGTAGATCCTCTGAAGATGCTATTCTTAAATGCTTGGTGATGAAGAGGAGGGACATCCGCTTTAAGAAATTAGTTCATTGCGGTACGGATGGGGCACCGGCCTCTAAAAATCTACTTGTTTTCGCTCGTAGTTATCATCATGAGCTAATTTTAGCCCTCTGCGTGTACAGTGAATGAAGTACAGTAAGCTGTATTCTCTGGAGGAATAGGAAGCGGTGCTTGGTACAGTGGCTGAGCCTGGCAAAGCGTGGCAACGATCCAGCGGATGAAAGCTGAAATCTAAAGAGCATTGTTGTATAAGAAATTGTTTCCGATTGAAACAAACTTTTGTGAAGCATCCGTGGCTTTGCAGACTTCCCCCGCCCGGTGTGGAAGAAGAGAATAAGATGCCGGCTGGCATGGTTATTTCTCATTTAAGCCTCACAGGTTTCTCAGTGCTATGCAGAAAAAAACCCAAGGAAGGTCCCCCTGGTGCAGTCGAATAGAAGCGACTCAAAAGGGAAACGGGACAACTGAAGGAATAGGAAAGAGAGGGTGTGTTTCCTGAAATTACCATATTTTCCCGTGTATAAGACTATACTTTTGTCTAAAATCTTTAGACTAAAAATTGAGGCTCGTCTTATACATAGAAGTAAGTTGAGGAGAGAACAAAAGCAAGTGGAGGGGAAAGCAGGGCTCAAAGCGATCTTGCAAATGCTTTGATCCCTTTCCCCCTACACTTGTTAAGCCCCACTTATTTTTCTTAATTTTGGATTAGAAAAGTGGGGGCGTCTTATACACAGAAAAGTACGGTATGTTATTTCTACATTTGTTATGTTTCTGTCTGGACCTCTCCTCTAGTGAGCTCAAAACAAGGTAGATGGCTCTCCCGAGTCATATTTGATCTTCCCAAAGGTGGCCAAAGCTGAGAAAGAGGATGACTGGCCTGAGGTCTACTGTGAGTTTCATGGGTCCCTGGGATTTCCCTGCTCCTAATCCACTAATTTAACCAACACACCACACCCAGTGTGCTGCTGATTTACCACCCCATAGGGCTCAAAGCCCTCTCTGTGTGGTTTGCCATTTAATTATACACGTGACCCATTGCTCACGCCACCCTCTAACAAACTGGGTACTCAGTTGACCAACCTTAGAAGGGTGGAAGTCTGAGTCAGCCCTGAGCTGGTTCCCTGAGCCCATCTGGATCAAACTCAGGTCACAAGTAGAGTCTTGGCGGCAGGACTGCAGTTTAGCCACTGCACCCATGAGCCTCCTCTCAGCTGTTCTCGTATGGAAGAACCAGTTTTGGGTACTGAAATATGGCAGTGAAGATTTGGACATGCCCTTAGAGGCAGGCTGCTCTCCCTTACTTGGCAAATACTATGCAAGTGGCCTGTTACTGTACTTGGGTTTTGCAGAACTGTCTTGGCTGTGTTTGCTGTTTCCCTCACCCACCGAGCTCGAAGGAGGGCAGCATTCTTTCTGGGTCAGGGCTCTCTTGCTTTCCAGGAGCTGCCAGGCTTCTGCTGGAAACATCCTTGCGGGGGATCTTCCTTGTTTGTGTTCGGCTCCAGAGATGGGTGGCATGGACGGAACTGTGTTGTTAACAGAGGGCACCAAAAATATGTTTCCAAATCGTTCTCTTTCAGAAACGAAGGAAGAACTTGAAGCCTTGAACAAAGAAATCAGGAAAACGGCGAACAGCATGCGTGCTAAATTGAAAGGTAAAGGTCACCAGGCAAGTGAGCTGTCACTGAGCTATCGAAGTTCTCACAATCTTGCTGGATAATCCCTTCTTGTTAAGGGTTGCTGTTTCAGCTACTGAATCGTACGCCATTGTTGGCGCAGAACAGAGATATGTAAAAGGTATCCCTTGGGCCACATTGTGGCCTTGCAAGGGCCCAGGTAACGCCCCCCCACTCCACCCAAAATTAATTTTTAAAATAACATTTTGCACTAAGAGTCTCTCTCTGCCCTCCAAGAAATGAGGGGGGCAATTTTGACATATTTTCAGGCACCTCCCTCTACACTTCCTTTTAAAAAAAGGTTCCAGCAGAGGCTAAAAGGGATATTGTTTTCAGTGAAAACAAAAATAAAACACATTTTTTTCAGATGGAGGCACAGGAATATATATGTACAAACCTCTACCATGTCCAGGAATCGATAAGCCTCAGACACATTTTCCAGTCCTGATTTATAAATATGTCATCCAAGGCCCATCTTTGTTTATATCAGAAATGTTTTCAAAAGGGTGGAGGGGGCGGAAACTTTCTCTTTGCAGGCAGTGAGGCTCTGCTGCCGTGTGGCACACCTGTCTAACAGAAAACTTTGGTCTGTCTTGTAGCCATTGAGCAAAGTTTAGCTCGGGATGAGAACGTTAACCGGGCGTTGTCGGCTGATTTCAGAATACGAAAATCCCAGGTAGGACACACCAAGGAAATGTGCTTCTAACTGAGCTTTCGTGTGCAGCTGCCTACAGGGATCTTGAGGGTAAACATCAGTGGCAAAGGATGACGTGTTTTGGAGCACGTGGAAGAGAGAAAGCAGGCACGTATCCCCCCCACCTTATTCACCCCCACCCCAGATCTTGTCCTGCATCGTCTACGGAGAGCTGTGTGTTGTGTCTGACAAACCCCCAGATCTCTCCTTCAAAAGCCTTGGGAATATTGGGAGGAGAAGACCCCAAGTCCACTGGTGCTTCATCTCTTGGCCCATCTGAAGTGCCTTAAGACTGTGGTCCCTAACCTTGGGCCTCCAGATGATCTTAGACTACAACTCCCAGAAGCCTTCACCACCACCTCTGCTGGCCAGAATTTCTGGGAGTTGAAGTCCAAGAACATCTGGAGGCCCAAGGTTGGTGATCACTGCCTTAAGAGACCATTTGCCTGGAGCCACTTGCAAAACCAGGAGTGGGGGAGGATGCTGAATCTGCATGAGAAGAGCTCTGATGGATCATCCTAAGGGTGCATCTTGTTGAGCATCCTTCTTACTGTAGCAGACAACCGAGAAGCCCAAAAGCAAGACAATCTGTCGGTCTCCCTTCTAGCACTTTGGAGTCCAGAGATGCACTAGGTTCAGTTTAGTTCACCAGGGCTTATCCCCATTCATACGTCCATCTTCTCTAAACACGTGCAGTTGACTTATAGCAGTGACATTCATCATGAATATAGAGATGGGCATGAACCGCCGGTTCGGCACGTCATGCTTCGTTTTTCATCCGAACAAGTGTTCGACCCTTCCCAGACCCAACCCCCAGTGGTTGAGTATTCCAAATTTGGAGAGGGGTGGCCTCTGCAGGAAAGACTCAAGGTTCCTCCTTGTTGACGTAGACCAGTGGTTCCCAACCTTGCGTAGTCCAGGGGCTCTTGTACTACAACTCCCAGAAGCCTTCACTCTCAGGGGTGCTGGCCAGGGTTTCTGGGAGTTACCTCTGCAGGAAAGACTCAAGGTTCTTCCTTGTTGACATAGACCAGTGGTTGCCAACCGTGCGCAATCCAGGTGCTCTTGTACTTACAACTCCCAGAAGCCTTCACTCCCAGGGGTGCTGGCCAGGGTTTCTGGGAGTTGCAGTCCAAGAGCACCTGGATTACCCGAGGCTGCAAACCACTGATGTAGGAGGACGTCCCCGTTGTGTTTTGTATCGACAATTAGCCCTTTACGAAATGCATTTCCTTCTGCTCCCAGTACTCAACACTGACCCAGCAATTTGTGGACATCATGACGGCATATAACACAGCTCAGACTGTCTTCCGGGAGCGCACCAAGGATCAGATACGGCGGCAATTAGAAATCAGTAAGAGATCCTGTTGTTGTTATTTCCTGCTCTCCGTGGTGACTAATTGCCAACAGTGTTGGCAGAAGGGGAGATGGGTTATTGATTGCGTGATAACCTTTGTTGATACACAGTTGTGTTACTAGGTTGTTCTTCTGTTGGCTGGGCCTAGAATTCCTCTTCTCTCCGGGCACTGATCCCCCCCCGGCGCTCCAAGGATGATGCTCCTATCAAGGAAAATGAATTATCCATCATTTGTTAAGCAGCTTTCTGTGCGCTAGAAGCTAAAAATAACTGTTCATTATAATCGTTGTTAGTAGTAGAAGTAGAGATATTTAGGCACCAGCTTTCAACCATGATTGTCTTTCAGAGTTTCCCCAGTTTGTTTCCAATTATATTCAATGCAAAAAATGCGATTGCATTGGGAATTAGAGATGGGCGCGAACTGCTGAACGGACGGTTCGTGACGGTTCGTTTTTCAGCTGAATAGTGTGGGCGTTTCCTAGTCCTGACTCCTCTGGCGGATGACCACTCAGAAGTGGGCGCCCAACAGAGGAGGTGAGGCTGGGAAGCACTGAAAAAAACAAACTGGCATGAACTGTCGGTTCAACAGTTTGCGCCCATCTCCATAAGGAGAGATAAGTTAGTGTGTTTATCCATCTGTATACATAAATAGCTTCTCTTATGGTCCTCATGAACTAGTTATACAGTCAGATTCTTCTTTTTCCATTGGCAGTTAATAATACGGTTTAGACTGCAGGGTCTTGTTCATATGTGACATCATGGAGTTGGAAGGGGGCTCTAGGGCCATAGAGTCCAACCTCCTGCTCAGTGCTAGAATCCAAATCAAAGCAGATCTCACAGAGGGTTGCCCAATTTTTCTCTTGAATTCCATCAGGGGTACAGTGATGCCTCGCTTAACGACGATAATCCGTTCCAGGAAAATCGCCATTAAGCGAAAACATCGTAAAGCGAAATAAAACACCCCAATTGGAATCCATTGAAACCCATTCAATGCGTTCCAATGGGGTAAAAACTCACCGTCCAGTGAAGATCCTCCATATGGTGGCCATTTTCATTGCCCGAAGCAGGGAACCGATCATCGCAAAGCGGAATTCCCCCATTTAGACCATCGTTTTGCAATCGCAATTTCAAAAAGATCGTCGTTAAGCAGATTGTCGTAATGTGGGGCAATCGTAAAGCGAGGCACCACTGTAATTGGTTCCATTGTCATACTACGCTAACAGTTAAGAAGTTTTTCCCTGATATTCAGCCTAAATCTGGCTTCCTGTAACTTGAGCCAATCATCATCATCATCATCAGGTCCTGTGCAGAGCATGTTGGACAGCAAGTGTTCTCCAACGATCTTGATATTTCCCACCACTTTTGGCAAGAAACATTAATGGTTTTGAGATCATCCTTGAGCGCTTGACGCCATGTTTTTCGAGGCTGGCCTCGTTTTCTCTTTCCTCCAGGAGGTATCCAACATGGTGCAGTTTTCAGGTGCTGACCTTCTAGGATGTGGCCAGCAAATGGCATTCGACACAATGATAATAGTAATTTGTAATAAACATGTGCCGATGCTCACCTTAAAAAGAGTTTTCAAGCCGTATGCAATATTTAAAGGTTAGCTTTTATTATTGCCGCACACGCACCCCAGTTAAGTTCCACGCCCAACTAGGGATTTGAACCCAAGCCTCCCGAGTCCTAGTCCACCACCCTACCCACTACTCCACATTGTCTCTCAAACTGTTGCATACGAAAGGAAAGAGAACATAGGGTTAGGTCCTTCTTTAGCAATAAATAAATAATCAAGGGATGCCTGTAATTTCTTACTAGCTGGAAAAACCACAACCGACGAAGAACTGGAAGACATGTTGGAAAGTGGCAATCTTTCTATTTTCACTTCTGACGTACGTATTTTATGCTTACTTTGCTGCTCTTGTATGTATAATTTTTCTTTACGAGGTCTTGGACAGTACAGGATGTGGACTTAAGCCTTCTAGACCCTGCCTAATTAAGAGTTTCTCTTTATTTTTGTTCTCTGGTTGAAAATTAGCACGCGGGAAATAGATTGAACTCTGTATTTTCTTTCCCAAAGATCATTTTGGACACCAAAATTACCCGGCAAGCTCTCAACGAGATTGAGGCGCGCCACAAAGATATAATAAAACTGGAATCCAGTATCCAGGAGCTGCATGAAATGTTCATGGATATGGCCATGATGGTGGAGGTTCAGGTAGGCGAAAGAAAACTGATTTTACTGATTTCAGCATCGTATGGCCTCTGAGGCTTTCTAATTAGAATAGGTCTCCCTTATCTGCGGGATTGGTATCCGCTGATTCACTTACCCACAGTCTGAAATACAGTGGTGCCTCGCTAGACAGTTACCCCGCATGACAATTTTTCCCTTAGACATTGGCTTTTTGCGATCGCTATAGCAATTCGCAAAACAGTGATTCCTATGGGGGAATTTTGCTGGACAATGTTTGGTCCCCTGCTTCGCAAACCGATTTTCGCTAGATGATGATTTTGACAGCTCCCTCTGCGCTCGCAAACAGGTGTTTTTGGGACCAAAGTTTCGCAAGACAATTTAAACAGCTGATCGGAGGTTCGCAAAGCGGCTTTCCTATGGCCGATCTTCGCTAGACAACGACGATTCTTCCCCATTGGAACACATTAAACAGGTTTCAATGCATTCCAATGGGGAAATACTTTTCGCTAGACAATGATTTCGCTAAACAGCGATTTCAGTGGAACAGATTATCGTCGTCTAGTGAGGCACCACTGTATTAAAAACATTAAAAGAAAAATCCTAGCAATGCATGTTTCTAAAGAGGTGTGTCTTGTATAGCATGGGGGGGGGCAGTTCCAAGAATCCTCCCTTAACGTAGCTGCTAAGAGACTTGGAGAAGGAATGGGAACGTTTCTGATGTGAGCAGAGCCACGGCCCTTAATTCATTCTGTGGCCTTTTCCTGGCCACTCTCTCGTGATGTCCATCTTCCTGTCTGGGAGGTGGAGCTTTATAGGGTTGTGGGTGTTTTATTTGTAAGTATTGCAATGAGACAATATATGTTATATGCTTGAAAACAGAATACAAATACTATTAAACAAATCAGTGGACTGAGTTTTTTAATGTATTAGCTTGTCCTGATTTAGCTGAGTTCTGCACATAGAGTGAAAAGGGTTTTTTTTAAAATCTTAATTTCATTGTAACGTTTGTAAGTTTGCATATTAAGCAGATCCCTTTGGGAGGGGCTTTTAAATTAGTATAGAAATGAAACTTCCATGACCGTCTTGTAACACTCTGCCGTTTATTGCCGCTGATAATGTCTGCCAATGGACAGAACGACACAGGTAACATGCTGGCAGTATTCCCCATTTTCCCCACGTGGTCCTCCAAAGTATTTCATCGGTCTTGCTCTAGTATTCATCCTGGCATTCTCGTAGGATGCATTGAAAAACAAGAGCTCTCTGAGTTTGGCCCAGTAGCAACATCAGTCCTTGGCTGGTTGACAATCCAAACAAAGGAAACATTTAGGCACCCGTTAGCAGGGTGGAGGTATGAAAAAGGCAGACAAAAGGGATTTTGCAGTGTCAGAACACGGAATGCAGGGAACGCTGTTGTTGTGATGTGCCATCAAGTCACCTCTGACCCATGGCAACCCTCTCAATGAGCCATCTCCAAAATGTCCTGTCCTCAACAGCCCTGCTCAGCTCAAGCCAGTGGCATCCTTTGGGCGTCAATCCATCTCACATTTTGGTCTTCCTCTTCCCCTGTCATCTTCCACCTCCCCCCCAAAGAATCCCTTCCTTCTGATGATGTGCCCAAAGTAGGACAGCCTCAGTTTCATATTTATTTATTTATTTGCTTTAGAGAGAGTTTGGGCTTGATTGGATCCAGGACCCACTTCTTTTCTTTTTCTGGCAGACTTTCTATCCACAAAGCTCTCCTCCAGCACCACCGGTCAAGCAAATCATTTTGTTTTCCCTGTCCGCTTTCTTCACTGTCCAGCTTTCACACCCATGCTTAGCGATCAGGAATACAAGAGTGTGAATTGATCCTGGTTCTTGGTCTCCAGGGACATCTCCTTACACAAAAGCATTGTTTTGAACCTCATCCCAGAGAACCCCAGAGAGTTGTCTGGTATTCCTAATAGAGAGTAAAGAACTAGGCTCATATGTAGGAGCTAAGCATCTCCTTCCTTTCTGTAGGTAGCTGCTGAATCAGAGCCCATTCAGAGGTGAAAACATGCAACCACAAGAGAGGAGAGGACTTTATGGGGGAAAAAAAATCTGTGTTTGGGTGGCTAGGGAGTAAAAGACTGCAAATTGTCCCTATTAGAATGCCAGTCCTAAACAAAATGTTCAAAGCATACTTCATTTCTGTAGTTATGCTTTTCATTTCCCAGTATTAACATCCCCTGCCTGCAAATGTGATTCCCCCCCCTCATGTGTTCAATTAAACATTAAAAATTCTTGTTCATTGAAATAACACACCCACGAGGCCATTTTAATCTAAAATGTGAATGTGATCCTCTAAGTTCATCCATCCTCTTCATGTCGTCCTTCTGATCCAAATGTCTTTTTAAGTTTCCTCCCATTCTTGATTGTGCAAAGGCTTCTGGGAAACCCCCCCTCTCAATGCTGGCCTAACTCTGCTTTTGTTGCCTGTCGGTTTTTCACGTTTAAGGGTGAAATGGTCAACAGCATCGAGGAGCATGTAGTAAAAGCGTCGGAATATGTAGAACAGGCGAAGGAAGAGACCAAAAAGGCAGTCAAGTATCAAAGCAAATCTCGTAGGGTAAGTTCCTCTCTCTTATGAAGAAAGCTGGTTTCCTTGGCTTAGTTGGTTGACCTGTATTCTGGATCCCAGTAAACCTATTTTCTTTGAGATCTGCCTCCAGAACTCTGTAGCACTGCTCCAGAGAAAAATGTTTGACATCTGGCTGCTTTTTTTTAGGATGGATCATAATAAATGTTTTTTTTTTAAAAAAAATGAATGTAAGTAACAAAATCATTAAAAATCTGATTTTAAAACATTTATGTCGTGACTTAAATCCATCCTGCTTGAAACATTTATGCCGAGTAGCAAACTGAATGTAGGAAACTGATTTTCATACCTTACTTGTTTTGTCTAAAAGCTCTGCCTAGGCAACCATGGATGCTGAATTGGGTATAGGACAACCCTCAGCTGGTGGGTGCACTTAGTGAGCAAAGCCCGATTTGGATCAGTGGGTTTCCCCATCCAAATGACCGTCATTTTCTGGAGGATTTTGGTGTTGGGTTTTTTGAAAACATCTTTCTGAAAATACTTGTTTTCGTATGCTGCGAACCTCCTGATGCTGCAGCATCTAAAACCACCATGGATCTTTGCATTTGTTGAAATGTAAACCCCATTATATTCAGTGGATTTCCCCCCTCAGATAGCAATTTAACTTTCCATATTAACCAGATGAGGGTACTCAAAAATGCCTCTAACATATATGCATGCATTTATGTCCTAATAAATTAGTGTTTGAAGAAAACTCTGACTAATGCATGATGTGGATCATGAGAATCACTCAGTATTGGTTGGTTGGTTGGTCGATTGATTGATTGATTGATTGACTGATTGATTGGACTTAACTGCCCATCTGACTGGTGGTCACTCTGGCCAATGGACAACACTAAAACAAATATAAAACATACAGTTCAAATTAAACAGCAAATGAAGGTTCATTTAAATTTGAAACTGGCTGGGCGGCTGTAGATCTTAAGTATACACTCAAGCAGAGTTATTAGAACAGCACGATGATTTATTTAGGAAGCCTGCCAAAATAAGAAAGTTATTAGTCATATAGGCTAGAATTCTGCTCGTGTTTGCATAAGATTTTCTTAGCTTGCCGCGGCTAAATGATGAAGTGGCTGGGCACATCTCAGTTACGTGCCTAGTCATGTGTTATTCAAATATGTGAGGTACTCGTTGTGCGAGGCACCACTGTACTTGAACAGGACTGTCATAACCAATCTGAGGGGTCCATACTGGTATACCCAGTTCTTCAGAGAAGTCGGTCCTATCCTGATCAAGACAGGAGAGGTAGTCCCCAGAGCTTTGAACTGGGACCAGAGATGCCCTGGAAACCAGCACAACTCACTGTATGTCCTATTGGAGGCACCTCTTTGTTAAAAATGTTGCATTGCATCTTGAGCTGCCTGCTGGGGCTGCCAAAAACTCCCCAGTCTTCTCAAAAGGCAGCCCCATATAAAGCATTTGATGGTAGTCATGTCTTGGTGTTACCGTAGCAAAAGCTGCTGCCGGAAGGTCTGCTTTCTCAGCATTGGATTGCATCTAGTGAATCAGCGGAAGCTGATAAAAGCAAATCTTGGCTGCTTTCCTCGGCCACCATAGTTGACGGAAGGTTGGGGAAATCGCAGTCTGAAAACAATAACTTTTTTTTTAAAACCGTGGATAAAAGTTCTGCCTAGGCCACCACGGATGCTGATTTGGGTATAGGACAACCCTCAGATGGCGGGTGCACTTCGTGGGCAAAGCCCTATTCGGATCAGCGGGATTCCCCATCCAAATGACCGCCATTTTCTAGAGGATGCCCTGGTTTAAAATTATCCAGAGTGGCCCCCAGACAGATACAGAGGGTGGGCTCCCAAAGCCTCTTTGTCCCCATCATTGCTACCGATAGTCAGACAGAGTTCGGGAGATTACAGCTTTTGTTTGTTTGTTTGTGTTTTGTTTTTTTGCTTTTGGTGTTGGGTTGTTTGAAAACATCTTTCTGCAAATATTTGTATTCTTATGCTGCGAACGTCCTAATGCTGCAGCATCTAACACCGCTATGCATCTTCACAGTTGCTGAAATATAAACCCCATTATATTCAGTGGATTTCCCCCCCTCAGATAGCAATTTAACTTTCCATATTAACCAGATCAGGGTACTCAAAATACGTCTAACATACAGTGGGGTCTCGACTTACGAACTTAATCCGTATTGGAAGGCAGTTCTCAGGTCGAAAAGTTCTTAAGTCGAATCTGCATTTCCCATAGGAATGCATTGAAAACCATTTAATCCGTATCTGCTCTTTTCGTCCATAGAAACTAATGGGAAGCTGCTATTCCGCCTTCTGCCACTAGAGGGGGATTTTTTTTCTTTTTTCCTTTTAACCTAAGATGACTTAGCTTTAAAAAAAGGGGAAAAAAGAGTTCGTAACTCGAATCTAAGTTCGTAAGTCGAGTCCATATATTCCTATGAGAGCGGTTCGTAAGTCGAAACGTTCGTATGTCGAGCCGTTCGTAAGTCGAGACCCCACTGTATGTGCATGCATTTATGTCCTAATAAATTAGTGTTTGAAGAAAACTCTGACTAATGCATGATGTGGATCATGACAATCACTCAGCGTTGGTTGGTTGGTTGGCTGGTTGACTGACTGACTGATTGATTGATTGACTGATTGATTGACTGACTGATTGATTGGACTTAACTGCCCATCTGACTGGTGGTCACCCTGGCCAATGGACAACACTAAAACAAATATAAAACATACAGTGCAAATTAAACAGCAAATGAAGGTTCATTTAAATTTGAAACTGGCCGGGTGGCTGTAGATCTTAAGTATACACTCAAGCAGAGTTATTAGAATGATTTATTTAGGAAGCCTGCCAAAATAAGAAAGTTATTAGTCATATAGGCTAGAATTCTGCTCGTGTTTGCATAAGATTTTCTTAGCTTGCCGCAGCTAAATGATGAAGTGGCTGGGCACATCTCAGTTACGTGCCTAGTCATGTGTTATTCAAATACATGCAGGCACCTTGTCAATTAGCCGCAATTAGCAGCAGCTATTTATGCAGACCTTAGGATGAACACCAGCAAGCTATATCATTATGGCCTAGAGGTTTCAATCAACAACACCAATGGTTCCCAACCTTGGGTCCCTAGAGGTTCTTGGACTACAACTCCCAGCAGAGCTACTGACGAAGCCTTCTGGGAGTAGTAGTCTAAGAACACCTAGATTACCCACCAGGGCTGGGCAGATGATAAATCTGTTTCAATGATCAAAATTAAACCGGGCTGGCAAGAGTTAAGCCCTTTTTTATTTGACTCTTCCATTTGCTGTTAATTTTAGAAGTCTGTGAAGGCATGATTTGGGTAAAACTGGGGAGAGGGAGAGAGAGAGAGACTCATAATCTTATTCCCCCCCCCCATCTTTTCTGACTTATTTATAGTAAGTAGGCCAGCAAGTCTCGCTCAACAAAATCAAAGTTTTTTTGGTTGCCTAAATTAGATTTGAGGCCACGATCCTGTAGCATATTTGGGAATTCAACATTAAAGACCTTAGAGCCCCCCCTGCAGTCCTTACTGGCTTCAGGAGATTTCCCCAGCCTCTCGGATCAGGTTTTTAGGGTGCATGACAAGGATGGGAGGTTTCGAGAGGAAAATCTGATAAATGATTCTGGCAGAAACCAGGAGGGGCGGCAGCAGAATCCCTGCTGCAGAAACTCTGGTTTGCAATAAATTTGGATATCCTATTTTTTACTTACGTATGTCCATCTTACACACGCCCAAGTGCTCAGGCAGGGCAGCAGGGAGTGGGTCGCAAGGAGTAAAGGTGGCGCTCGTAGGTCCCATTTCAACCGCCTTACAGTAAGCCATCCATTTAATGTGTCTAAAAGTTGACATCCTATATTTTTTGTGAAAACTCAGCCATCTAGTGGCTAGCCTG